CTGTATATTTAGATTTACTATTATTTCAGTATTTGCAGAGAACAAAAAACTTTATAATTTTGACAAGAATGAGCCACCCCTGCTCTGACGACTGATGTTTTATTAAATCTCAACATTTGTCATTTCCACCAGCTCTTTCCCGCTGAAGCTGTCCTGTCAAAATAATCTAGTGATGGCGAAGACGTAACATTTGTCATCTAACAAAAACATTTCCCTTTCTGAGGAACAATGGGACAAGCCCGGAAACAAAGAGCTCCGAGGAGTGATGAGTACCTCGAAGGGCCAGTCGGGTCTCTGCTACATGTTTGGGTTTGGGATCTTTTCCACCGACGAGGCGCTGAAGACGTGTTGATGTCCTGAGGTGCCATTTGTTTCCTGCCAGCGACGGTGAATGAGGTGCAGCAGACAGGAACTGTGTCTTTTGTTTTTCTGGATGGAAAGACACCAGGAGAGGCTGTGAATGTCTTGCATGTTTGCAGGGACAGAGCAGATTCTTTCCCAGGGTGGAGGGACAGTACTGTCAAGATACTCGCTGCCAGAATACACACAAGTCAACCATAGATCTTTGCAGCATTTCAACACTCCTACAGTGATATATTTTGGATTGGAGGGAAGCTAAACAGCACAAAAGTCTGTATCTGCTCTGTCTCTAACAGGCAGTGTGGGAACACACATTATAATTGTTTGTTCAATTATTTTTCTTGGAAGCCGCACCTGCACTTCACCAAGTGAACTCCTGAGACCGAAGTGCAATTAAGCCCCGCAGAGCAGCGCTGACGCCTGTTTAAAGAGCAGGGAGGGAGTCAGATAAATACCTTTTTAGCCCTCAAGGTAACAAGCAAAGGGTGACAGTGAGAAGGCTCGTGGGGAGCAATTTCCTATTTATTTGTCTTCTGATTTAACCTCTCTCTTGACAAGGTTCCAGGGCTTATTACTGTATCTGTCCTGAGCTCTAATTGAGGCCCATTACAAATGTTCAGCAAGCTGGAAGTGCCAGATGTGGGCGAAGGATAAAGGAGGCAGCTAGTCCTGCTGACCGGTGTTGACACCCTCTGAAATGTTTTGTGAGGTTTGAAATTTCATGGATAAGTAGCTCACATGTTTGCAGAAATTGTAAATTATGTTTTCTGACCTCTACTGGCCATTTTAATGAGATTCTTTGCAAAGTGAAGTGCAGAGATGTGAAGTTGTTTCATATGAAAGAAAACAAAGTTTACAGTTTCTGCTTCTTTGAGGAATGCACAAGAAAACCTTGTGTATTTCAAGTTAATTGTTACTCTATGTGGCTTTTATCAGCTAGAGTCAGAACTTTGATAGAAATTGAGTAAAGTTTACAGATGTTTTGTGATAACACAAATGACACCCAAAACTAAACTGAAAAAAATACTTTAATCTGCTAAACTGCACCTGAATGCAACTCTTTATCAATAGATAAATCCCTCCATATTGATATTATTCTATTCACCCTTTACAAGTAGCTGCAGTGCCAGGTGTAATACTTAATATATAGACCCAAGTTTCACCAGCAAGGATTCGCTCATCAAAACATTGCTCAGTAGCACTACTAGTGGCCAAAACTTAGCTTACCTTTAATCTAGTGCTCTGACCAACTAGAAAAACACATTCATATATTGCACATTTTAAATACTCTGTATTTGTATAGCGCCGTTCTAGTCTTTTTGACCACTCAGAGCGCTTTTACACTACATCTGCATTCACCGAGCCTAAGTGCTCAAACAGAAACTACAATTTGCACACATTCATACACTGGCGGAACAGTCACCAGACAATTCGGGGTTCAGTATCTTGCCCAAGGATACATGCAGCCTGGAGGAGCTGGGAATTGAACCATCAACCTTCCGATTAACAGGCAATGCGCTCTACCTCCTGAGACTGGCACATGATCAGACAGGTTTTGTTACTTTACAAAGTAGGATTTTTACACACAAAATATATGTAGAGTTTAAAAAATGTTTGTTAAACAGTGCATACAAGTACAGCTAGTACATTAGTCGATTGGCATTTATCAAAGTCCTTTTTCATGTAAAACAATTTCATGATTCCAGCTTCACAAATGTGAAGATTGGCTGCTTCTCCTTTGGATTATTTTTTGGAGTATTTTTAATCATTTTGAGGTTTAGACGGACAAAACAAGCGTTGTGAAGGTGTCACTTTGAGCTCTGAGCAATTGTTACATTTCTCACTATATTCAAAGTGTTTACAATCGATTAACAGAGAAAATAATCAACGTATGAATCCATAATGAAAATAATCATTCAATTAGTGTGATACAAAATAGTTCAACCTCAACCAACAGTAAAATCCCACTGTTACATTAATGCATGATATAATGATATAATATATAATAGTATAAAAGTCATTGAGTACTTTTACTTTTAATACTTTAAGTATATTTGCCTGATTACAGTGAGGTACTTTAACCGCTGCAAAATGTGTTCAGACAAAATAAGCAATTGGAAGATTTCACATTGGGCTTTTTTCATTCAGTTAGTTAAAAAAAAAAGTTGGCATTATTTGCCTCCCTGCTTTTCAAGACTTTTCAGTATGTAAGGTCTTTGACATTCTGCATTAAAAACAGTCATTAGCCATCACAGAGGATGTATTTAACTCTCTGTGACACTGTGGTCTATGGGTTTCTTTGGAATGACCATTTACATTCACAGACTATTTACTGCTGACAGTCGACTTATTCTGCTCATAGATGCCGGTCACTGTTCTATAGCTTGCTCTGGTTTACACTGACTCTGTCTTCAGTCACACAGCTATCATCCCAGCCATGCATACCTCCCTCTATGCTTTCCATGCTCACAGCCCTCCATGCATTATTCACAGCCAAATTAAAATACCGGGCCGAGAGTGAGAGCTGCATGTTAAGGCAGCTGAATCGGGGAGGTGCCGTCACAACAGCTGAAAGTGTCTGTCACAGAGTTATGAGGGTTTTTTTCCCATAGTTCCCCGGCAGTGCAGCTGCCTAAATGAGAAGGATTAAGTTAACTCCCTGTTTAGAGGAAGAGCAGGCCCTGGATTAGGGCACTGGGCATGGACACTGAGAGCATTGAAGCAAGAGCCACAGCTTTTTAAAAAAGAGACATGGGGGAGAGAGGAGGCAGTGGTGCACAGCCCTCGCAGGGACCGACGGCCGAGTTGCTTGAACAAATACATTGACAAGTGTAACGCCGCACCCGCGACATGGAAAAGTGTGTCGGAGCAAAGAGGAGGAACACTGGCTGACACGCAGACAATCACAAATGCTTTTTTTTCTCTCCCCACCTCCCACTTCCACCCTGATCCCACTCCTCCATCTTCTGTCATAACCTAAAACACTCTCTTCAAGAAATATAAGAAATATCTCCACTAGTCTAGAGGTAGGCAACAACAGCTAGTAACTAAGCTACTGAAGTCAATAAATGAAAATATTGCACTCTCAATCTACCCTCTTCTTCCTTCTCAATTATTTTTTTCTTATTTAAAATTAACAGGCAGAAAACCTTGGCCCCTGAGAATCTGGGGCATGTACATTATAAATGCAAAGTAAAACTGAATCTGTCTATAGTAATCTGCTGTGTGATCTGTACCTGATGAGCTACTACAAGTCAACAGGATACAGACACAGCGATCAGAGTGGGAAGACGGGAGGTCGTTTTTGCCCTGCTAGCACCATAATCTGGCTCTGGTGATCAGGGATGTGTCAAAAGATCAGCTTTACCTAAACAATGTTCACAGTTTTTAGCAGGAGAGCGTTTGCAGCCCCAAAGAAAGTCATTGAATGCATCACAGCATCTCATTTATATTTTGAATTGGGGTCAAGTTTGAAAATTGTCCAAGGTATATACTGAGAAAAACGTTGATTTATTTAATGTTGGACTAACTAATGGGCACAATAATTTACACATCTATTTTCAAAAATAACAATGATCTCTTCCTCCATCTGCTTCACTTGTTGCATGTTGTTTCATAATTTTTCATACAATTTCAATTGTTTCAATTTCTTATACAATTTCACTTGATACAGCAATAGTCAAAGCTAAATGTATACATGCCCTGTTCTCTGAGGTCTGAAAAGCTCTTCACAGAGAGGGGGGGGGAAACTGGGACAGAGTGGAGATGAGAACAGGTGGTGAAACAGTGTGAGAAACACAAGGGAGAAAAACAACAGACACCTGCTCGTGAAACCCAACCTGGTTCCTCCATCACATTCCAGCACAGTTCAGCTGACTGAGCTGCTCAGGCAGAGGCTGGGAAGGATACACTCAATCTCCTGCACTGAATTATACTGCTCACAGTGTGACCATGTGAGAGAAACAGCATTTATAAGGCAGACAGATCTGTATGGTTTTGAAGACAAACAAAAATCTTTTTAGAATAGTGACATTTTTGTGCCTAAACACCTGAAGTGGCATTTAGGTGATCATTGTAAACTGAAACCTGCAGTAATTCAGCAAGCCTTAAGTCTTTAAGGACAATTAAGTCTTAGGACATCTTATATTCTGATGACTTTTATAACTTAGCTGAATAATGTCACAGCACAGTTTTTGTAAGTGAAGAAACCCACAAATCAGAGGGAAGAAGTTAAATTAGCTTGCGGGTCCATATCATACAGAAGGATTATGCTGCTATTAACTACAGATTAACCAAAGTACCAAAATTGATAATATTATGTAAGAGAGTTGCTTTTAGTAGAGTTAAAAAGAAACACAGGAAACAGGCCGCTATTGCCTAAAATTGAATTGTGGGAAAATTATTAAAGGGTAATACAGTAAGTTAGAAAGTAGTTAAATGACTTGTTTAATCTTGAAATCTCTCTCAGACTTGGATTTGGATTCCGCCCTGTAACCCAACCAAGTGGTACAGACAAGTGAATGATTTTGGTGTCACTTTCCCAAAAACCTGTCTCAGTTGGATCAACCTGAATATTTGAGCAAATAATTAACCGCCTCTGATGTTCTTTGTCTTCTTCTTCTGTCTCTTTCTTGCTGCAGGGAGAGAACCAGGCGTCGGTCACGTCAGCTCCGTGACATCGAAGTGACCGTGACACCGCAGCAAACCAGCAGTGACGGATGCCTTTTTGTCTTCTGCAGTCAGGCCGGATCGCCTGACCCACGGACGACTATAATTGTACCGACAGGTGACACATCTGTGGAAACCAGAAGATGATGGCGGAGACTACATAGATCATGTGACCTGCGCCTCACATGCCTCCTCCAAGTATTGTAAGTGTCTGAAGAGCTTCACTGTTACAGTGGATGAAATTACAAAACCAAAATGGTGTCCTTCAATTGATACTGTCGTAATTTACACTAGAATGCTGCTTTTTTAAGACATGTTGAATGATAACTAAGAAAGATATTAAAAACTACTTTACATAATAGTAATTAAGTGAGTGTTTTTCTCTAATATAAGACCACATTACCCATCAGCTCTGCTGTCTCCTTTCCCTTCTTCCCCTACATTAACATTTGTTCCTCATTCTTTGTCTCCTTCCACCATCAATGGAAATTTTATGACTTGTAGCTGGTTTTGCTCTGGAAAAACAGCTACTTTCTACCCTAGATCAATCCAGTAGATTTTCTTTCAAATCTAAACCAGCGGATTACAGTAAAAACTCCAGGATAAAGGCCATTAGATACTCTGTTTAATTAAGTAATTTTACTACTGTATCATAGCTTATGTGATAAAGATTCACCCAACCATCCACTCTCTGCTTAGTAGGTTTTTCCTTTGCCAACCAACCACAGTTAGAAGTACTCTCAGTTGCAGCCAAACAAAATACAATTAGTCTCAGTAATATGTGGACATAGTTATACAGTAATAAAGTACACAGAGTACATGTGGACATAAGAACCAAACAAACAGTTTGGATACGTACACAGCCGAAGTGAAAATGCAAATTGTGGTACAAATGTTGCAGCAAGATCTTTTTTTTTTTTTAAGTAAATAGTTGACTTTGTCTTTAAAAACTAACTGCCAACTTCTTTAAAAGTAAACCATAAGAAATGGCCGGAGCTACAAAGAGCTGTCCCTGTAAAATGCAAAACTGTCACTTTATTATTTAAACTGTCCTCCAATCTTATTTATACCAAGTCTTGAAGCAGACTTATTGTTGTTCAATTCCTGGCATTTTGTCTCCTTGAGATGCTGTCAAATTTGAAATTTTTGTTTAAATATACAACAGTATAGTTGTAAATGCAAAAAAAAAGGATAATAGAAAAGTAAAGATCACTAGTTAAAAACATGTTCTAAGTAACTTAATGTTAATGTTTGTAGTCATAGACAATACTGTAGATACTACTGTATCAGCAAATATTAAGGCATTGAACTGCATTATAAGTATGTGCGTACTACTGCATACATAGACAGCAGATTTCACAGACATGTCAAAGTATCTATAGACAGCAGAAGACAAGTTACTGCATACAATGTAGACAGCCCACTGTCTATACACTATATGGCAAAAGTATGTGGAAAAATTACACCCATATCTGATAGCTGAACTTGATTTGTTTTTTCTGTTTTGGGCATTTGGATATGAAACTATTGGCATTAGAACACACTCAGGTTTTATATGTACGTATAACCTAATCATGACCAGTTCCCCTTGAATTCTTCTTTGAACCTAACAGCAGGGTGGCTGTGTAAAGTGCGCTGTTTGAAGCAGATGTTTGTATTTTGCTTGACGAACTTCAGAGACACTTTGTAGCGCTCTTTGTCATCTGTGGCCCAATTAGCAAACAAATTTCCCAGCAAACAGTGAAAGTGAGAAAATAAATATTCTTGTATGTAGATCATTAGTTGGAAATAAATGAAAAACCCCTCAATGCTACATCCTCACACCCCGATTGTTTTCTAAGAACAACTGCTTGTAGTGAGCTGTCAAATCCCCTCGTTGCTTATTAGTTGGGGCGTCCTCAATGGGTGCCGCAGAACCGAATCTGTAATCTTTGCTCCAGCTTTTCGTCTCAAAAACATCTAAGCCGGTGAAGCTTGTGATAGCCCTTCTCCTCTAAACAGAGCAAAAGACCCACAGGCTGAATTAGGAGATGCAGCTCCGTTTGAGCCCAGGGGAGGCGGGATCTGCTCCTATTTGTCAGAGCTTTCCATCGTCACTTTTCATCGACGGGCAGGCAGAGAGGCGGCGGGGGGCTCTAATGTACTCGGGCCATCTTCCTCCCCACATGAGTGTTTTCTGTTTGGCTGCTGTCACTGAGAAAAGACACATAAGTACTCGCTCTGTATCCTTTCACACACACACTTTCTCTCTGAAACACACACTCTGCAGACAGAGCGATGTGCTCTCCAGGGCTGAGAATTTCCCCCTCTCTGTCTTTATCTGCTGGTAAATGTTGGCAGACCACTGAACCTTGATGTCGGACTGTGACAGGCTTAGCTGTTTGTAAAGTGTTGGGGTGAGAAAAAAGGAGAAACAAAAGGGCCTCTGGTGTGGTGGTTAGCCATCATGGCTGCTCAGCTCGCAGTGAAAGGACCTCTAACACCATCGCAGCTCCGCCACAGAGGCGAGCGCTTGGCTGCGCCTGGGTCGGCCGGCTCGCAGACCATTAGGGAAATGGCTGAAGGGTTCTCGTATTTCAAACCCGGCTGCACCGTTCAAATTAATGAGGGGATTGTCAGCATATCAGAGTTGATGGGTGTGACGAGCGAGGCCCCAGCGCAGATCCTGAAAACAAGAACACTCAGGACAAAATTTACTTCAGTGAAAAGCTGATGTGACTGTTGTCTTGGGCCTAGTTTGTGCTGCAACTGGAAACTTAAGTTTTCCATTTGGGATACAGAAGTTTTCTATCATTTACCACCTGTCTTTTAGATACAAAGCCTCCGCTTTGTCAAGGCCCTGAAAAAGCCAACCAAAAGTCAACTGGAGGATCAAAGTTTTGTTTTCTGTTAGGATTTTAAAACTCTCATAAATGTTTGTACAGAAAATTGCAAAGAATCATTTGAAAAGCTGAATCCAAAATCAGCTGTAAATTTTTTAGCATTAATATTTATTAGGGGAAAGAAAAATCAACTATAGAAATAATCCCAATGGAAGTTGCCATAACGGGCATCCACTAGACTTACAGATGACAGAAACAGGCTTGTGATATGAACCAAGGCAATGATGTAGGGCTGTAGATAATCATACACTCATTTCAAGAATATAGCCGTCAATATTTAGAATACTTAGAATATTTATGTAGTATGCAGGTTAGGCTTTTTATATACAAAAATTGCACATTTTTAGTGTTTTCCATGGCAGTTTTCTTCTACAAGCACTGTGGCCTCACAGCAAGAAGGTCGCGGGTTCAAACCCCAGTTGCCCCGGCCTTTCTGTGTGGAGTTTGCATGTTCTCCCCATGTCTGCGTAGGTTGTCTCCAGGTGCTCCGGCTTCCTCCCACCATCCAAAGACATGTGGCCCAGGTTGATTGGTGACCCTAAATTGTCCTTAGGTGTGAGTGTAAGTGTGACTGGTAGTTTGTCTATGTGTGGCCCTGTGATGGACTGGCGACCTGTCCAGGTTTTCCCCCGCTTTCCCCCTAATGTCTGCTGGGATTGGCTCCAGCCCCCTGCAACCCTGTACGCAGGATAAGCGGTTGACAATGGATGGATGGTACAAAGAAGGCAAAACATATATATTGTTGTAGGTTGATGATGTTATGTCAGGAGCATTTTATTTCTGCTTGATCTGTTTGCAAATTATGTAGCACTGGTGTCAACAGATATGGAATCAGAGGAAGTGCTCTGCTTTTTTTTTTATCACACATACTTCTTGAGTGGCAGCTGGAGAGAGCATGATGGGGCGGAGTTAGGTGACCACGTATTATTGCTTGACTTTTCTTAAGGCTGTGTGTCAAACAGCGTCCTGACCGCATTTTCTGTCTCCCAACAAGCTGAAAAGGGAATTCACAGGGAGTTGTAAATAGGCAGTCAAGAAAAAGATGTTGAGAAGCTCTGGCCAGAGAGAATATAGGCAGCTTGCAGATGAGCAGCATCTTCCTGAACACTGAAACTGGTGTGTTGGAGACTGAGGATCTTTGATTTTTAAACCAACCAGCTGCAGGTCAGCTGCTGGAAGTGTCACCTCTCCTTGTTTGATATGCTTCTCCTGTTTTTTCATAGTTTCCACCTCTCCACTTCCTGTGGGAGCTGCGTTTTGTTGAGCCCTGTTTCCCCTGACGAGCTGGAGTGGGCCACGTCTGAACAACCCGCCAAAGCGACAGTCTATAAAGACACAAAGGTGAGGAGAGACAATGAGGTGCAGCGCTCGTCGGGTCTTGACCCGTTGCAGCACTGAGCTTTGACGGTGACAGCGTCTTCCGCCGAGGATGTCGCCCTGACACATAAAGAGAAACAATGAAGGCCGGGCGGGAGGATGTAACTAAGCAAATTAAATTGGAGTCACTGGGGTTCCTTCTGAATGAAGATGAAAATGTGTCACACACCTCTGTATTGGAGCTCTGTGGCACTAACACGGCCTACAGGGAATGAAGAGAGAAAATTGGATTTCAGCTGCTGATGTTAACCTGGAGGACAATTTAAATGTGTCCTTGGTGTCCATCCCTGCGAGCTTGCCCTTCAGTGAGACCATGCATGCTTGAGCTTTTAGTGAAATGTCAAGAGGTGGAGTTTCTTGGTGAAAAAGTGCTCAGATGAAACGAATCTCGTTAACTTGAACGAGAACTTAACAGCTAAACAGATCTGTTCCAGGAAGAATGGTGAAATGAAATTCTTTGAATATATAGATGTGCGGACAATTTAAACCGAGGCAAGTTCAAAAACGCAAGAAGATACGAGCTGGCACATTTGTGGAGCATATGTACATATTATCCAGGCAGTGCAGGGGGTGAGCATGTGACTTATCTGCTCCTCATCTGCTCTTACTTTACCATTTTCTTTTTCTTCCAACTTTCCTCTGTCAGAATCTACTTCCTGTTGTTTCAGCAGGAATTTGACTAGAGCAGAAGCATGTGGCAGCAAGACCGGCATCTACAATAGAAGTAGAAGGTAATGTACAGCAGCATCATTGTTTATTTATTATTATGAAATGCACCCAAAGAAATGGGATGGAGGGAAAACTTGCAACGTCTTTTCTACAACTTTGGAATGTGCTCAAGTCTTGAACTGTATGTCCAATTAAACTGCTTACAGCTTACTGCTTATCAGATTTTTGGAGAAAGCATCTCTTAACCAGCATCAAACTGTTTAGTTCAGGGCTGTTTCAGGTTTTGGTTGACATCAAGGAAACATCCTCCCACTAGAAAGTGTCTTGTCGTGTGTGT